TATTTTGCATCCAATCCCTCCCAGATACTGAAGTTCCAAGTTGCTGGAGAAGAGACAGTGAGAAACAAGGCCAGTGCCTGCCCTTAGTCAGTTCATCAAAGAAGCCCCTGGGAGTGGATGGTGGGGTTCTGAGTCACAACAGATCACCCTGGAGAAATTCAAGTCCCTGGGCTGAGGTTGGAAAAGGACCCTGAAATGCATGCCAGCACCCAGGTTCCTGTGCTGCCTCTTAATGGAGCAGAACTTTCACATCCTGTCCATCTCAAGGCAAGGGAATATTCTCCACCACCCATTCTCTCCCTCTGAACTCCAACACAACCCTGCAAAGTACAGGCTGTACGTGTTACAGGTGTGAAGGTGAAGTCAATGAGTGAGAACTAGAATTGGCAAATGAGGTGTGCTGTAATGTAAGAAAGAAGGGCAGGCAGCAGGTAGGGCAGAAAACATCTGTCAACAAATAAAAAAGACTTCTCTAAGAAATCCTAGAGGCAGAGAGCTGGCTCGAGGGTCAAAGATGTCTGCTATTTCCATCATAAGAACCTAAGTTTGATTCCCAGCATGCTCAGCTACCCAATGATCGCGGGATGTATCCCTGGCGGCCCCTAGCACAACTGGATATGAGCAGAGCGACATTGGGGAGCCTGAATATTGAATCATCTGGCCAGATTGGCTGAGCCCAGCCAGGAGTGGCCCCCAGATCCTCTGAACCAGGCTTGGAAATACCCCCACTTCCACAAATAGAAATTCCAAACAACCTGCATATGGATGGACTTCAGAGTATACTGTAGAGCTTATAGAAGAGACACGTAACACTTAAAATAATTTGAAAGCTCCAAAGGCTTTTCTCATCCTTGAATTTCATGAAGCAAAGTCTTTCTTTCTTAAATAGCATGAGTCAGTTTTTGATGTTTATGTGAAACAAAACATGAGAGTTCAAAGCGACTGTCCAGAAAAAAAAAGCAAGAGCCAATATTAGAGGTATATCGACATTAACATAGCAAACTAAAAAGGATATTGGTAAAAATTTTAAAAAAAATAAACAATGACCAATTTAGATAACTAGGGCATGCTCAAATTCCAGGAACTCTAAAACAGATATAACAAGGCAAGAATTTTGCTCTGCTTCAGTGGTCGGGATGAAGGGCTCATTCATGGGAAAGGGCAGGAACTCATGCACAATGGGAGCCCGACAGGAGCATGTGCGGGGGACAGAGAACAAAGCGAGATGACAAGACAGAACCACCTGGGAGTCTGACAGAGCCACTTCAGGACAAAGGAAGAAAGCGCTTGCTCAGAAACACCAAACAATTGTTCAACAAACATCTGAGAGATGCTAAAAGAAGTTCCAAAGCCTCTGGTGTGTCTCTTACTCAGAGGAAGAAAGTGTGAATCCTAGTCCAAGAGTTAAAACAGTGAAAGAGATACCATCAAAACCTGGCAAAATCCGCAAGAAACTGAACTTGGGCAAAAGCACAGGGCTTGGGAGGTGTGGGAGGTCACCATGATTATGAGAGTCCAAATATAAGGAGACCACAGGCCAATCCCTGACTATTGCTTTAGGTTGCTTTCTCGTTTTTTTTCTGGAAAAAAAATAAATGATTTGGAAGGTCACAGTAAAAATGCCTTCAGCCCAGTACTGCTCACTAGGACACACTCTTCCAACCTGAAAACACGCTACGCTCCTTCAAGTCACTTCTATGGAGAGTCACTAGACTCTGGGTGCAGACCCCACTTTTACTCAGTACACCACAGATGGTCAGGTTTGGTCAGCTTCTCTGGGCTAGATGGTTACATTGGCGGGGAGTAACAGAGGCTTACATAAACACCCTGAAAGCAGAAACTTAACTCCAGAACAAGAACAGACAACCAAGGAAGAAGGAAAGGAGAAGGGAAGGAAGGGAAAGCTAGCAGCCCTGGGCTCATCAGTGGGTCAGTATCTGCAAGATGCAGGCAAATGATCCGCCTGCCATGGAGGCTTCTCTGAGTTTTCAAAGCCTACCCAACACATCCATCTGAAATTAGACCAACAGGTCGGCAGTAGGAGTACATCACTTTTTACAAGGACTTTTGGAAACTAAGTAGTTATCGGCTAAGGACTCCACAAAACATTCCAGTTCCTTTGTAAACCCAAATAATAAAAAAGAATCAAGCATTACACTTTCCTGGATCAACTCCATGCTTGCAGATCAGGTCCAAAATCCCTACTGGCACAAAAGAGTTTCAAACAGGCTTCCACATACACATACAAATGTAAGCCAATGATGTTACTTTGGGTTTCTTCTGTGTTAAGTCGGGAGACGTGGTCCTGATTTCTATGCTCATTTGAACATCTGAATATTGAAAAAATTAAAAATTCAGCTTTTTGCAATTATACATAAAATTGTTATCGTTCATGGAGCTTGAGACTTCAACAAAAAGTAATCAGCTTTTTAATATCCCTAAAAAGCAAAGTAAACACCTAAAAAAAGACAAAAGGTTACCAACAGATTCAATGGTTTCTGATGAATTAAAATTTATTTAATAATAAAAGGACTGTTGTAAATGTTGTTTTGAGGCCACACGTGGCTGTGTTCAGGGCTCCCTCCTGGATCTGCACTCAGGATCGTTCCTGGTCTGGTAGGCTCAGGGAATCATATTTGGTGCTGGGGGTTTAAATCAGGTCAGCGACGAGCAAGGCAAGCACCCTATGTGCAGTATTATCTCTCCAACGCGTCAAACATTTTTAAATGTACACCCTATAATTGAATACCCAACGTCATAATACTATCCCTACATCACCCTCTAGATTTTTTATTAATTTATCGCGTCCCAAATCATTCAGTGGGTAGAATTTTGGCAAATACCAAAAACGATAGCTATCAGAAAACTGGGGGCGGGGAGAATGACTTTTCTTTCTATTCTCTTAGTGTAATAAATACACCATCATGACTTGTCCAGGACTCTTATGCACAACTCTTTGCTGCTTTGGGGAGAAATACAACCCCCACAAAAAAAAACAAACAAACAACAAAAACAAGAAAGGCAACCTATCTCTCTGACCTGAAATCAGAAACACTCTATGGAAAAAACTTTATTAAGAAACTCTATATGAAAAAGCAATATACAAAACGGGTCCTTTCTGTTTAATAGACAAATTTTACATTTTTAAACAATGGATTGTTTCTGCTGAAATCCTTTCTTCTTTGGGGCCCAGACTGCCATGCAGGTGTGCCTCCTTTCAAACAGGCAAAACAATAACGAGAGACTGGGCTTGCTCCTGCATCTCCTGGGATCTTGCTTGCAAAATTTATGAGTGTTAAAAGCGAAAATAAATAAATAAAGAGCTAACGTTGTGGGAGAGAAGGAAATTCCAGTCTCACTGTTGGTCAAATTTCTTGGAATTCCTCTGCACAGACATCTCCGTGGTTAATAACCTGTGTCTTTCCCCTTTGTTTTTACAAATATCAGTTTTGTCGATGCTCCATCTTCAGAATAAGAACTGACACTGGGTAGTCCCCGCTGACTACCCTAGGAACATGTAACCCTCAGCCACTTGTTTCAATTCAGGGAATAAGAAAGCATTTTGCTTTCATGACTAAAATGCAATAACAAAAATAAAACAAACTGCAGAGTCTAGTGAGGGACTCAACAAAATACCAGAGAGTCAATACAGAATGGTTGGCTCAGGTGACTGGTAACTAAATATGATGGCTTTTTTCCAAGCCAAAGAAACCAACTCGGCCGAGATCTAGGGCAATGGTAAGAGGTTACTTTCGGAAGTATTGGTGTCCAATTCCTTCCTGATACTCTAACACACCCATTCAGATTAGCAAAGATTACAGTGGCAGACATCTTCCATTTCTTTATCCCCTGTGTGGCAAGGGGTGGGCACCAGGGGAGAAAGTGGCAATGATGCCATCAGAGATTTGTCCTTAGGGGACCGGAAATGTGGTTGTCCAGGTTGGCGCCCTGAAAGCCAGCACTTGGGATAGAACTACATGGTTGGAGAAATAGACATGTTCTCAACTAAAGTGTCAGAAAAAGAGAGTAAAATAAATAATATAGAGTCAGGTTAGAGAATAGACATGTTCTCAACTAAAGAAACAGTGTACAGGCTGGAGCAATAGAACAGCAGGTAGGGCATTTGCCTTGCACACGGCCGACCCAGGTCCAATTTCCAAAATCCCATATGGTCCCCAGAGCACTACCAGGAGTAATTCCTGAATGCATGAGCCAGGAGTAACCCCTGTGCATGGCTGGGTGTGACCCAAAAGGAAAAAAAAAGAAAGAATCAGTGTACCAGGCTCAACAAACCCCCACAAGTCCTGGAATTCAATTTATCAAAGAGCCACTCTTGTCACTTTGTATCCTTTCCATCTCTTCCCAAGTAGTTCCAAAAGCCCCTTTCTCTAATGCTTCCCCAAAACCAACTCTTAAGATGTCTGTAAAGCACAAAAAAAATGCCGGGAAATACCGCAGGAAAGCCCCCTCAGACATCAGTAGGCAGTAAGCTATCTTTCCTACCCTTGTGTGCTGGGTGAAACCGATCCCAGTGCAGAGTTGAGTCAGACTGAAAAGTGTGTGTTTCCTAGATCCATCATCCACCCCAGGGACAAAAATGCTCTTCTCTGGAGTTTCTTAGAAAAAGTGAGCCTGCTCAGGCTGCTGCTGCTGCTGCTCTGAGTTTAAACAAAAATTTAAAAAAAAAATGACCACAGATATTTCAAACACTGAGCCGCCTGTCCGCTGAGTGGCCCAAACAAGCATTCCCCAAGGTTTAGGATGGAAGGAATGGCAGGCGCCACCCATCTCTGTTCCTGTGAAATGTCCTTTCCACAAAAGGCAAGCTAACTCGTGATGAGAGAAAAGAAGATCCCAACTGTTTGGAGGTGAAACCCACTCTGAAAGTGAGTCTTTCCATCAGGAGACCATGATATGGGGACATCAGCAAGCATGCCTCCCCAAGAGAAAAAGCATCTTTAAAGACAACTCAAAAGAACCACCTTGCTCCCTCCACTTACCTGGGAAAGCGTGTGGATTGGGCGACCCTCTCTTAAGGCACTTAGAACAGAGAATATGCACAGTATAGTGCAGTCCAGGCCACTCCTGAAGCAGCACATTCAGTTCCTCCACCAGCGGGGTGATGGCTTGCCACGCTGTCCATATATTTGGTAACGAGGCATGGCTGGCAATGGACAGAGTGTCTGGCTGCAGAACCCCCTTGGCAGGTCTGTAGCTCACCACCACTGGAACTTTGCCGCGGTAGGCAAAGATCTGAAGTTTACCGTCTGACCTGTGCACCACGTGGCTGTTGATCTGGACGCTGTAGCGTGCAAACAACCCAGGAGGAAACGTAAAGGGAAAACTATATTCGATCTGTAACTGCTCAGCCACAAAAGACTGCCCAGCAAGATTGGTCCCGTTAATCCAGGCCTCCGCATGGGGCACCTCATTCTGGACATAGCAGGGGAACTTGTACCAGGCCGTGGAGCCATTCAAAGGCTTGCCCTTGGGTTTATTGAGGCAGTAACACAGTCCCATCTTCTCCAGCAGCTCCAGCAGCAGCTGCAGGTCCTGCTGGGCCTGGACGTGAGGCTTAAGCAGCATTCGGATGACGTGGGCTGGCAAGAGCCCATGAAGCAGAAAGCCTTCCACGTAGTGATGGAGCTGGGTGGTGCGGAGCAGGTCCTGGCTGGGGGCAGGCAGTGGCAGTGGCGGGAAGTTCTCGCCCTCACCCTCGCCCTCGCCGCTGGCCCCCAGGAGCAGCTTGTGCAGCAGCAAGGAAGCATCCCTCTGGAAGAAGACATTGAGGATGTCAATGAGGCGGGAGAGGTTATGGAAGACGTGCTCCTTGAGGGCGGGGCTGTCCTCAAAGTAGAGCAGCTTGCCGCTCTCGTGGAGGTAGGACAGCGCGCTCTGCAAGCGGTCCTCCGTCAGACCCGCCTGCAGGCCCAGGCGCGCCGAGTCCCACCAGCTCAGCCACAGCCGCTGCGCCTGGGGGGGCTGGAAGTGCAGTTCCTCCAGCACCTGCCAGGAGCGAGGCAGCACCCGGTGTAGGTTGGGGAAGATCTCGCGGTGCTCGGCCACCGAGAGCAACTTGTCGCGGAGGCGCTGCAACTGACGGGGGTCCCTGCAGCTGACCGGCAGCACGGGGGAGAGGATCTGCAGCCGGTGGTTGAGCAGGTACTGGAAGTGGGCCTTGCGCCTCCGCAGGTTCTTGTCGGAAACGCCGTAGTAGGCGGCGTGGGGACTGGCGGAGCGCAGCTCGAAGTCCCGAGCCAGAGCCTCGTCCACCACCTGGGCCAGCCGGCTCAGCCCCTCGGCGTCGTGCTTCTCCTGCAGGGCGATCTGGCGGTGAATGTCCAAGCACTTCTCCTCCAGCTCCCGCTCCCCGCAGAGGTCCGCGTGTGTGCCCACAATGCACACCACAGCGTGCGGCACACGGGCCCCCACCCGATGTAAGAAAGACCCCACGGTGGTGGGAAAGCGCCGGGGTTCATAGGTGGCCAAGTTCACCACCAGGACATAAAGGGCCCCGGGGGAGAGGAAGAAGGGCTGGATGACCTCGTAACTCTCATCGCCAGCCAAGTCATACACGATGAAGCGCAGGCCCCGGGAAGCATCGGCAGTCCAGCTGGTCACCTCGATGCCTTTGCTGGCGGTGGTCAGGGAAGCCGGGTAGCTCTTGTCCTTGTCCTCAACTCCAGGGTTCCTCTCCACCCGCTCCTCCGTGAGACAGTGCCGGAGCAAAGTCTTCCCGGCAGCCTTGTGGCCCATCAGAAGCAGCTTGAGCCGCGGCTGCACCGCGGGCTGTGAATGAGCCAGCTCCTTCTGGTAGGCGGCGATGTAGGGGATCCCCTTCATACAGACCTCGTAGGGGGGCTGGATCAGCGGATTGTCCTTGATCTTCCACAGGCCCACGCGCGAGAGCTGGCCAAAGTTGTCTGGCAGCACGGCGATCTGATTCCCCTGCAGCACCAGCTCCTCCAGGCCCGTCAGCTCCACGATGGAGTCCGGCAGGTAGCGGATGCGGTTATTATCCAGCCACAGGGTGAGCAGGCGACCCAGCCCCGAGATGAGGGACGGCACGGAGGTGAGCTGGTTGCGGCTCAGGTAGAGCTCCTCCAGGCCGGCCAGCGGCAGCAGGGCCTCGGGGAACTCCTCGAAAAGGTTGGAGGACAGGTTGAGCATCTTGAGCCGCTGCAGACGGCTGAACTGCGCGGGTAGGGCCTGCAGCCCGTTGTTGTCCAGCATGAGGCTCTCCAGGCTGGCCAGCTCGCAGAAGCCGCTGGGCAGGGTGCCAAGCTCAGCCCCACTGAGCCAGAGGATCTTGAGGGCACTCAGGGCACTGATATCCTCAGGTAGGCCCCGCAGCCGGTTACTGGACACGTCCAGCTCCTCCAGGGCGGCGAGCCGCAGCAGCTGCCGGGGGAAAGCCGTCAGCTGGTTGTGGTCCACGTCGAGGGTGCGCAGCCGGGAGAGGCCGGCCAGCGAGTCGGGCAGGTGCGCCAGGCGGTTGAAGCTGACGTCCAGCTCCTCCAGGTGGGCCAGGGCGCCCAGCTGCGAGGGCAGGCCGGGCAGCTGGTTGTGGCTGAGGTTGAGCTTGCGCAGCTCGCGCAGGGCGCTCACCACCTCGGCGCCCAGGGCCTTCAGCCGATTGTGGCTCACGTCCAGCTCGGTGAGGTGGTGGCCCAGCTCGGCCACGGGCGGGGGCAGCCGGCCGAAGCGGTTGCGGCGCAGGACCAGGACGCGCAGGCTGCCCAGCGCCGACCCCAGCCCCTCGGGCACCTCTTCCAGGCCGTTGTTGCCCAGGTTGAGCACCTCCACGTCCCCGAGGTTGGCGGGCAGCACCAGCCGGGGCGCGGCGTCGGGGGAGCCCGGGCAGCCCCCGGCCGCGCTGAGCGTCAGCTGGCGCAGGTTGCCCCGCAGCTTCCTGGCGCGCAGGGCGGCGTCCCGCCACAGCCGCACGGTCTTCAGGTCCCCGCGGTCCCTCCCCGCCATGGCGGGGCGCCCGGCCGACACCCGCACGCGGGCTCGGGCCCGCAGCTACATGCCGCGCCGGGCTCCGCGCTCCGGGGGCCTAGCGCAGCCGGGGGCCGGGCGCGACGCGGGCGGCTCCGGGGGGCGCCGAGCGCGCGGCGCGGGGGCAGGCGGCGGCCGGCGGGCAGCGCCGCGCGCGTTCTCCTTCCTCCCGGGCCATGGGCGCGCCGCGGGCCGCGGGGCCGCCGCCTCCTCCTCCGGCTCCGCCCGCCGCGCCGCCGCCTCCGCCCCGCTAGCCCCGCCGCCGCGGCCCCGCGGCCCGCAGCCTGATCGCGCCGGCGAGCTCCGGGCGCGGGTGGGCGCTGGGCATGGTGCGCGGCCGGCCGCCGCGGCTCTCCGCGTCCCCGGGGCTCGGGCGCGAGCTGGGAGCCAGCCAGCCGCCCCCCACGTGACCGAAGGAGGCGCCGCGTGTCCCCGGCCCCGCCCCGGGGTGGGAGCCGCGGGCCGGCGCCCGTGCGGGGTGTCGGGGGGCGCCCCCGGGGAGCGAGGCGCGCCTGGAGCCCGTGCGGCCGGCTGCCGATCGCGGGGTCCGGGGCTCTCCCGGCCGGGTTCGCTGGCTCTTTGTTGGCCCCGCGGCCCGCGGGATTTCTATTTCTTCTCGGCACTGGCGTCCTTACTCATTCTTGTCCTTCTCCCCCCCGCCCCATTCTTGCTCACCCCACCCCATCCCGACCCCATCCCGCCCCTCCATCCCTTTCACACCGCACCCACACTAGAATGGAACTGGCGGGAGTCGGGGACCTGGGTTCCTCGTAGGAGTTGAAAATCTACGTGTGGCTAAACAAAAGGAGGAGGAGAGCGGGCAACCATTCATTCATATGGTAAATATTTATCGAGGTTTATTTGGTGTCAGACCTGCTGTGGCTGTTCTCAGCTCCCCTGGGGAAGGCTATGAGCCTGCTCTTCAGAGCCTTCCTGATTAGTGGGGTGTGTGTGTGTGTGTGTGTGTGTGTGTGTGTGTGTGTGTGTGTGTGTGTGTGTTGGGGGGAGGGTGCATGGTGGAAGCGCAAGGTGCGAGGTCTGCTTATCCCATTTCTCCCCACAACAAATTACATGTCCCCTCCTGCTAGTCGTTTGAATGCTGTAGAAGCCGGAGAAGGCTGTTCAGGCGCAATCCACAGTCCAGTGTTCCGTTTTAAGGTTTTCCTTTTCCTCTCTGGGCAAGTGTTTTGCTTGCTTTTGAGATCATGTAAGTACTAAGTAAAGCCATGCTTCAGATTTTGTCCAAACCTAGAAATTGTCTAGGGATACCACCTCTATCATGGACTCCAAATTGGTCAATAAAGAAGCCGTTCGTTTCAGAGACACCAAACTGCACTTCGTAGGTCACATACATCAAAACTCAGTGCGACTCTCCCTGGACCCAGGATGTGACTGTTCTTCAGGGGACCCATTTTTGGAGCTGTGGTTTGAGGGGGAGGAATTTGTCTCTTTAAAGAGAGCAACTGAAAGTCTCAGTAACTCATCTACAGAGATGGTTAGCAAAATGAGAAACCTGAGCCCGGAGTAATAATATGGCTGGCCCAGGTTCCATCTCCCACACCCCATATGGTCCCCGGAGCCTGCCTGGAGTGATGCCTGAACATATAGCCAAGAGTAAGCCCTAAGCTCCACTGGGCGTGGCCCAGAAAACAAAACCTCCAACATGGGGTCTCCCATACCCCCAGAGGAGTGCCAGAGACATGCACCTCCAAGGAAATTTGGGCACAGAGAGAGCTGATTTGTGTTTTCCCAGAAGGAAGATCAAATGACTCAAGGGTTCCCACTCCTGCTGAGGGAAACACATGGTACAGGGATGGAGTCTGGGCTCCTGCCCTCGAAGCAAGCACTCCAGCTGCCTGAGCCTCCTGAGCTGTCTCTGCTAAGCTATCTATGGCCTTCCAACTCACTAGTCTCAGGATGTCAGTCCTCAGACTCAGTATGGGAAGCCAAGACCCTGACCCACCACTGTGGCTGTTCATAGCCAATTGGTTCAAGCAACCCAGACACATGTGTCTTACTTAGGGTGTTGAATATCACTGATTCAGGCTCACCGATGAGTATCTTCACAGTTAACCATCCAGGTAAGAGCAGTTAGGTACACTAACTTCTCATGAAGTGTTATTTCCCGAGCTCGTCACCTTCCTGGTGTTCTTAAGTCAGACCCCAAATTCTCCACCCTTCAGGGCCTTATAACACAAACTGGATTTAACCCAGGGAAAGAAAGGGTGCCTTCTCCCTGCTGACCTTTGTAACTACCCTGAAGTCCTGACCTTTAGCTGACAACCTCTTTGGATCTAAATTACCTGGGCCAAACCACTCCTCCTTTAGGAATCATCAGAAAAATAATGCTTTTACTTTCACTGTCTTTGAAGACCTCTTTTCCATGAGGCCACCTGCAATTTGCTCTATCCATGGATCTAAAGATAGAGAGAGCTACCCAGAGAATAGCCCCCAAGGGCCTCTCACTCAGAGGTGGCACTGAGTCTCCTAGGCAGAAACCTGGTTCTTTGAACTTGAGTTCTTTCAAAGGGTTCTTGTGAAAGTTTTGCATTTGCCTTGTTGTAAAGGTAGTTTTGCTAAAATGCTCCCCAGAAATGTTGAGTTATAGAGAGGGTAAAAAAATGGGTGGAATAGAGGCAAGGGAATTAAAAGAGCTACAAACACAAAGGGATAAAATAGAAATAGAGGCAGATGTGGTGAATCAGGAAGGATAGGTGAGGTAAAAAAAAAAATTGCAAGTAGATCCAAACTTCTGAAGTTTGTTTATGCAATAAATAACTATCCCTAAGCCCTCACCAGCATCATCTTTTTTTCACTTTTTTCTTACCCCAAATACTGTTTCTCCTACTTTTTGTCTCCTTTTAATTTTTTTCTCTATTTTTTCTCCTTCCTTTTTTCTTTCCTCCCTCCCTTTCTCCCTCCCTCTCTCCCTCTCTCCTTCCCTCCCTCCCTTTCTCTCTCTCTCTCTCTCTCTCTCTCTCTCTCTCTCTCTCTCTCTCTCTCTCTCTCTCTCATCTTCTTTCAGCTCTTGGGCCACACCAAAGTTTCAGGGATCACTCCTGGCATTGCTCAAAGCAACCCTATGTGGTGTCCAAAATATAGCTCGGGTCAGCTATATGCAAAACAAGTTCTTAACTTCGGTGCTGTCTTTCTCTGGTTTATCCTTGTACTCCTTAAAAGTGTTGTGTTGCTAAGCTTTGGATTCTGAGAATTTGGCAGTTACCTATAATGAGTGTGCAATAAATGTTTGTAAAATTTTTTAAGGTGGCCAAAAAGATAGCGTGGTGGGTGCAGCACTTGCCTGACACTGAGCAGAGAACTAAGCCCTGTGCTCCAGCAGTGTGACCCAAAGTCGTTCTTAAGTTTTTGTTGTTGTTTCTGTTTTGTTTTGTTTTTAAGAAAGAAGGAAAGTTGTTATGCTAATAACTAGAATGTCAAAGGACAAATAAAATTCCAGAAAAAGAAATTGTGGCCAGGCACCCTCCCTCACACACACCCTTGTGGTAAAGTTTCTAAAGGAGTGAGGGGCCTGGTGGCCATGCATACATGCTCTTTTGGCCTTCTAGAATGCTTGAAAGGAAGGACCCTGAATGCCCACCCTATCAAAGCAGTCTTACTGGCCATTCAGGAGCTAAAATATATACCCAAAGCTGATTTTAGAAGCTTTAGACTTTGCTAGAGAAAGCCCAGTGTAGGTGAGAGCAAATGTGGGCTCACCGCAGTTGTTAGCCTGATGTCACACATTTAACTCTGTAGGTATAGGGGACATGGTCCTCCATATGGATTCTGCCACCAGGCGCAATGCAGTTAGGTCTTTCCCAGGAGCAGAACACCATCATCATAGCTTAGGGAAAGCAATCCCTAATCTTTGATCATTCCAAGTTTTCTTGCCTGGGCTCTTTGGCTATTGCCCAGGACCTAATTGATGTACTTTCCCAAACTTTTACATTTTGTCCTGGTTTCCTCACTTGTACACTGTTTCTATTGTAGCAGCTGCTGTGTAATTGACTTTTCTCCCAGAGTGCCACCTCTGCTAGGGCTCAAATCCTCTCAGGGGCCTGGGAGAGCCCTCAGGTACGTATAACACCAGGTTTGGACCTGTAAGCACCTGTAAAGATGTGACTAGGAACTGGCTGTGACTGGTAGAACACATGCCTTGCATGCAGGAGGCCTGTGTATAATCACTAATACCACACACACACACACACACACACACACACACACACACACAAAGGTTTTTCATTAAAAAGGAAGATGTAGTGGCTGGAGCGATAACACAACTGGTAAGGTGTTTGCCTTGCATGCGGCCGACCTGGGTTTGATTCCCAGCATCCCGTATGGACCCCTGAGCATTTCCAGGGGTAATTCCTGAGTGCAGAGCCAGGAGTAACCCCTGTGCCTCACCGGGTGTGACCCCCCACAAAAATGAAGATGAAGGCAGGGGACAAAAACCTCAGGCACATTGGTAGTGTAGAGACGTGGTATATGTATAAATCTAAACTATAGGACCAGCAATAGTGCAAGCTTGAGAACCAAACTCCAGCAACCAAACTTAAGAATGTATTTGTCAAGGGGGCAGGCTGGGGGTAGGGGGGAACCTGGGAACATAGTGGGTAGCTGGCACTGGTGGTGGGGATGGTGTGGGAACATTGTACACCTGAAACTCAACTATGAGTAACTATGTAAATTACAATGCCTTAATATTTTTTAAATGTTATTTAAATTTTTTTAACAATTTAAAATAATAAAGATGTAATTGGCTAATTAGGCTCTTGGCAGTAGTATATTCCTTTAAATGACATTGATGTAGTCTAAAAGGCACAGGCAGCAGAAAGATTGGGCTTCTGCCCCTCATGAAGACCAACAACAAACTCCAAATAAGCTTCCATCCCTGTTTTCTTTCTTTCAGGGTGGGGGTAGCTCCCTACCATACCATGCTTGGGGCCATGCCTGGTGTTGCCCCGGGAGGCTTACGCCCGTCTCAGTACTTGGATTTCTTATACCCAGGGATTGAAAGCAGTGCCCCTGCATGCAAAGCATGTGCTCCAGCCTTGTCAGCTATCTCCCACCCTCCCGACCCCCGATCTTTGGCTTCTTTTGTTCTGTCTCCCACATACTTGACTTTCCTCCATC